GGTAGCCCCACATCTCTCCCGCTCTCTGATTGATCGCTGCTGCTCATCCTCGAGCCTACTCTCCGGCAAGGTAATCTCTCTACTGTTGCGATGAATTTCTTGAGGTGTTTGATGTATTCAGGGTAGTGTTCAAGATCACAGTGGTTCCCTCCTTTCACCCAAAGCGGCTCATACTTTTCTTTGCAGAGCTCCCATAGTTGCTTCCCATGGCACCAATCCACTACTTCATCCGAAGTTCCCTGCACATTTAGAGCTCAAAACAATCTCAAAACCCCGGAAAAACTGTGTAGTATGAATCTCATCAAAGACTGCAGCCTAACTTACATGAATGATGAGAACAGGGCAGTCGACATACGGGATTTTGTCGATATTCTGCAGAGAAAAAACACACACACACTTCACATTCTGCTCGCTAAAAGGATTCATTGAAAGTGATTCTCTACCTACCTTGTAGATGTCGAACCAGTAGGTTTTCTTGACGGAGTACATGACTCTCAAACCGGAGAGAATGGGGCTGTGAAGGACGACGGCTCTCAGTAGAGGCAGCCGGGAAGCTAGATCCAATGTGGGTCCGCTTCCTACAGATTGACCGTAGAGGATTACATCTTCCTGCTTAGAGCCGTAGGTATCTTCAAGACACTTATAAACAGCTTCGATATCAGCATATGTGTTATGCTCACTCGGCTGCAATCACCACAAGGAAAGATTCAGGCTTTAAGTCCTACTAATACACACACAAATGGAATCATCAGTTTCGGTTGATGATGGTAAAGGACAAACCTTTCCAGTTGATTGTCCATACCCGGAGTAATCGTATCTGCAACAAGAAGCAACATCATTGAACTAAACGAATCTCGCAGAGCTAAAAAGATATGCAATCGAGTGACAGATCTTAGACCAATATTCAATCTAAAAACCTTTTCTTTTTGATTGGCTTTGTGATTCTAAACCTACAATTGAATCAAATCTGGGGAAATCCTATCTAAAACTAAAAGACAAGACCAAATCTAGAAAAGGAAACATGTTTGAATCCACAAGGAGCTTAAAGAAGAAATCGAATTTGAGAGAAGAGGGAAAGAGAAGATACCCCATGAGATTAACCTTGAGGTGGATGCTAAGCTCTATGAAGAGCTCATACATCTGGCCCAGATCGGCGGCGTTTCCATGGGAGTAGATGAGCGTACAAGTAGCCATCGGATGCCTCACGTACATAGCCACGATCTCAGTGCCTCTCCGCGTCGGAAGCTTGAGGATTTCCACGTTTTCGCGGTGGGGATAAGGGGCCAGAAGCAACAGTCCGGTGAGCTCGTCGGTGACCACCTTGTAAGACGGCGGAGTCGGCGGGAAGAAGGCGAACTTCGCCGCCACCGAAGACGTCACTCCTCCCATTTCCTTACTTCCTTCCTCACTTTATCTCTCTACACAAGTACTAGCATTAGATTTATTGAGCTGCTCCTGAGTTTTGAGATTGAAGCTTTTTTTGTTTACTTGGGAAC